ATGTTGGATTTAATTTTCTATATTTTTTTAATATCTATAAGCACATTCGAATAAAAAAAATATATAAAACACGGACGAAAAGTGTATTTTCGGTCTCCTACGAGTTGCCAGGCTCGACTACGTTTCGCCTGGCAAACTTCTCGTAGTCGCCCGAAAAACCTAACTTTTCGTCCTTATAACAACTACTATTTTGGAAAACTATAATATTATATTCAATAAATCACAAATTAAATAAAAAAAGAAGCATAATAAGAAATGCATCAGAAATATATTCTACAAGGAAACGATATAAGTGAAAAAGAGTTGAGAAGGAAAATTCCAAATATTAGGACTGAGTTGAAGAAAAAAAAAAAGGATAAGAATGCAATTGAAAATAAAAAAAATCTAACCGTGTGGGAGAAGTAACTTCTAATGGAAGGAAAAGAAACCCCAGTCTTTCTCTCCATATTTTTGATGAAAATTAGTTTTTGCGAGTTATTAATATCTATTCTGGAAGTTTTTAGACTAAATAAGTGCTTAGTGACGCGTAATGGACCTTTGAGGCTGCACTATTTAATTTAACATTGTGTTTTTGTGTTAAAGTGAAACTGTTTGAATAGACAATAAAAATCTGATCAGATAGTGTTAAACGTACGTTTGTTTCAAGTCCCTCTATTCAGCAGGGGCTATTAAAATGTTTTAATAATGAGTGATATTAAAACCACTTCTCTTGACTGCAAGAGTAATAATAACTTAAATGTAATGAGTTCCAATGTATCCTAACCCAATATGTTAAAAAATACAATTACAGATAATAAAACAGCTTGTCCCAGCACTTCGTACGTACCGGCATAGTAGTCCCAAAAATCACCTTCCCAAAAAAGACCAAGTAATAGTACTTCATGCAGAAAACAGTCTTAAATTATTTGGTTACGTGAAAGCCATAGAACCAAAAAATATCTCATTTGTATCTCGAATATCCAGCAATAGAATATGTATATTTTTAGGCAGCACCAAATTGGTAGATAATCTATTAAAATCTCATTCTACAATCAGTGGCGTAGCTACACCCCCGCAAGCTCCCGCGATGCGGGGGGGCCCGCTGGTATTGGGGGCCCCCGGCCGACTGGTTGGACAGAGGAGAAAAGGACCCCCGGTGGCCGACCGCCGATCGGTTGCGAAGAGAGAAAATAAAAAAAAATTATAGAAGGGCAAATTTGACTTTAAAAATATTTAAGTAAAAGTCGCTTAAAATAATCATACGTGACAACTAGTGACAAAATTGTAAAATACTGCAACTGCAACTCTGGAATCTGCGAATAAAATGTAGTTTACTAATGTACACTCTTTAAAGATGCGTGTCGTTACTGGTTAGTGGTTAATAGTTGTTAAAGATCAGCAGAGTAAGTAATTAAATATATATTTTAATAATAATGTGTTCGTCTCAATTTCTTTAGCTAGTTTAGTTTCAAATATGTTATGTTGGGATGTGTTCTAGACAATACTAGACATAGTCAGCAGTCAGTTGAGAATTCCTGACGCGGCGATGCCACACTGTACGCCGTTTTTCTAAAATTGTAGATTTTATTAAAAACCTTGATACCTAGCTACTTGTATTGATTGTAATTTTTATTTTTACTTTAGAAATGAACACTAATGACCCAAAAAAAAATATCACAAGTAGAGCTTCGAAAAAAAGAAGGAGAAAATTGTTGGATGAAGCAAAAAAAAACTACCCAAAATCGATGCCTTTCTTTTGCCTAATCTGAAACCATCAAGTGCATCGATCTTAAATGTAGATAATCAAACTCCCTCTACGAGCGGCGCGAGTGTTCATGTTAAAATTCAGTTACAATTATCCGAAGACCAACTTAATGAAAATTTAATAAAAACATATCCCATGAGCATAGACACTGTAGATACCACTACTACCCAAATAGATATCGATAGTGAAGCAAACCTAGTAGGTTTGATGATAGTGGTTTCAGAAGTTGAAGAAAATAATTCGGTTGCCCTTTTTAATGTTAATAATACCTATCCTACTGATTTTGCGCATTTTTCAAATGTTGACATTTTAAAATGTAATAAACTAAGGAAGCTAATTATTGATTATAGATTATCAAGGCCTAATGGTCCTTTTCCGAAGGATCAAAAACAAAGATCCTTTTCAGAAAGTTATTATTACACAAAAAATAATAATTGGGTGTGTTATTCGAAAAACAAAGATCTTGCTTATTGTCAGCCATGTTGGCTGTTTAGCACTCTTAAGCATAGATTAGGGTCAGGATGGATATCGGGACTTAATGACTGAAAGGGTTTATCAACAAAAATTAAAGAACATTTTTTAACTCAGTCCCATTTGACCTGTTGTTTTATATATGATTCCTGGAAAAAAAATTGTACTATTCACAGGGAAAATACAGATTTGCTTAATCGTGAAGCTGAATTTTGGCGGCAAGTCCTAGATAGACTGTTTAACATAACTTTGTTACTTGCGAGACGTATGTTAGCATTTCGCGGACACAGAGAAGACATCCATTTAGATTTAGATAATGGAAATTTTCTTGCTTTAGTACACTTACTTTCTCAATATGATCCGATTTTAAAGCAAGTACTTAATATGCCAAAAGGAACAGTTTAATATCTATCGCCATAATATCAAAATGAAATAATTTTAATACTAAGTACTAATTTAAAAAATATTATATTAGATAAAATTAAAAAAGCTCCGTTTTATTCTATTTTAATAGATACTACCCAGGATATCACTAAAGTCGATCAGCTCAGTATGGCACTGAGGTATGTTGAGTTCATAAAAAGTCAAAAAGTCAAAAGAAAGTTTTTTGGGATTTATTAAAGTTGAGTCACAGTCTGCTGAAGAAATAATACATGTGATCTTGAACATCTTAAATGGCTTAGGATTAGATATAAATAAGTGTAGGGGACAAGGATATGATGGGGCCAATGTAATGAGTTGGTATATACTCAAGAGTTCAAAACAGAATAAATGACATTGAACCCACTGCCATTTATATGCATTGTGCCGCTCATAATTTAAAATTAGTAATAAATGACGCAATTAAAGCCATTAAAGAACTTGCACTGTTTTTTACTCAATTAGAACAAGTATATACTTTTTTTGGTTCCAGCATAGTTCGCTGGGATCTTCTTCTTCACATTTACGGAAAGTTCGTCTATAAAATTAAAAATCTGATGTGTCCAACACATGACTTTCCTATCTAGTTATTACAGGCTTTTTCCAGTTATTTTGTACAACCTATTGCAGCACCTCTATAAATGTTTAGAGGATAAACTAAATATATACATTTTCCACATACATCTACCTCAAAACATTTTTCTATAGATATTCATTGAAAAAGAAAATACTAAAAAATTTAAATTTAGCACTTTTCCTACAATTTTTCCATTACGGTCAATTTTAGAAAAATGATGTATAAACAAAAATTATAGAGATCGATATCGCAAACAACTTTTATTTCAACAATTTTCATAAAAATCAGAATTTTGCACATTTTGTCAAATTTATCGCATACGGACCATTTCAGGAAATTTTGACATATAACAAAAATTATAGATAATATTATTAGAAGTAACTTTTATTTAAACTATTTTTTTCTCCAAACATAAATAACAGATATATTCCATAAAATATAAAAACGGCCTCCCATAAAGTACCCCCCCCAGATGTTCCGACTTTGTCCAAAATCTAATCATTTCATATCAGGCCGAAATAAAACTTAAGTTTAAAATTTAATGTTTTTTTTATCCGTTTTTGAGTTTTTCTCAAATTTCGAAATTTATACATTTTCTCAAATATCTCGAATACGGTCCATTTTAGAGAAATGATGTAAAGGATAAAAATTATAGAGAATTATATTACAAACAACTTTTGTTTGAACAATTTTTATAAAAAAATATTTTTTTACATTTTGTCAAATTTCTCGAATACGGACCATATTAGAAAAATTTTGTATAGAACAAAAATTTTAGATAATAATATAAGAAGTAACTTTTATTTAAAGAATTTTCTTCCCCAAACGTAAATAACAGATATATTCCATAAAATTTAAAAATGACCACCCATAAAGTACCCCCCCAGATGTTCCGACTCAGCAATCTAGTCAGCTCATTGGACGCTAGAATAAAGCTTAAGTTTAAAATTTGGTGTTTTTCTGTGTATCAGTTCATGAGTTATGCGACACACACACACACACACACACACACACACACACACACACACACACACACACACACACACACACACACACACACACACACACACACACACACACACACACACACACACACACACACACACACACACACACACACACACACACACACACACACACACACACACACACACACACACACACACACACACACACTCGAGGTCGAAAAATCATGATTCCTATACTTTCCTTATGTATACAGATAGGAAAGTAAAAAGAATAAACCCTACCAGATGGTCTGATAGACTGCATTCTCTAACTGTCATAAGATTTCAGTTCATAGACATAACAAAAGCTCTTAATAAAATTATTTTAATATCTAAAAAAAGGACGAGCGGAACGAAGCAAAAATTATATTAAAAAATATTGAAAGTTTTGTTTTTGTTTTTTTGTGTGTTTTTTTTTTTGACCAAGTATTACAAGAAATTAACATTTTTTCAAAAGCAATGCAAAAATTTGATGCAAACCTAAATAAAACCCTTAATTTGTTAAAAAAACTATAGAGTGTTTGTCTGAAACTAGAAATAAATATTCAGAAATTAAAGACGAAGCTGTAAAAATTTCACAAAAATGGGGTATAACTGCACAATTTGCAAATAAGATAGCAGCAAAGGTAAAATTTCATTTTGACGAACTTAGTTCTGATTATATATTTTCGGATTTCGAACATAGGTTTAAAATTAATATATTCTTTGCAACATTGGATATTATAAACGTTCAAATCAAGTGTCGTTTTGAATCATTTTGTAATGTAAATAAAAAATTTAGTTTCCTAAACCCATCTATGCTTTTTAAATTAGCGCCAGAAATTGTTGTTAAAAAAGGCGATGAGTTGCAAATATTTTATAAAAGTGATTTTAATAAAACTGAATTCTTAGGTCTTGAACTAGTTGCCATAAGAAATAATAAATTATTATGTAAAGACCTTCAGAATATTGAGAGCATAACTGAGTTTTTAAAATATTTGTTAGTCGATAATCCTATATGCGTATCTAGCTTTTCTATTACAATTAAAGCTCTGATAATGTATTTGATTTTACTTGTAAGTGTCGCAAGTAATGAAAGGTCTCTATCTAAATTAAAAATTATTTGAGAAACAGAATTTCTCAAGACAGGCTAGGATTCTCTAGCACTTTTGGCAATCGAAAATGATTTGGCGCGAGAAATTGACATTGGCCAAGCCATTACTTCTTTTTCTGAAAGAAAAACTAGAAAAAAGTGATTTTAGTAACTTTATAGATTTTGTTCATTTATTTTTTAATACAGTTTACTTATACTTGTCAGATTTAAGATAATTAGTGTAATAAACAAGTTTATAAATTTTATTGTTTAATTTAGCTAACAAGCATGTAACCTACGTATGTACTATGATTAACATCCAATCAAACCCTTCGTTATTTTTTAAGGACAGTTTTATCTAAAATTCTAAAAAAAAATACTGAAGCAAATCCCAACAAAAAAAGTTTTAGGTTTTAATTACTACGCAAAATTCTTATCTATTAGGGCCTATGTTAAAAGTTGCGGGGGGGCCTAAATTTGTAGTTACGCCACTGTCTACAATCCAGGTACTAAATTCAATTTTAAATGTTCACAGACTCATGTCCCCAACAAAGAAAATACTTATCTCAAATGTTTCTCCGTCCAAAATCACGAAGTTATTAAAAAACACCGTTAAAAATCTCTTGATAATGTCGAATTACAAAACTCGATTTTAATTCCTTACAATGATGTTAATCATAGAATCTTTCTCTCCACTGACAAAATGGAGTGTTTTATATGCAGGCAAATAGGCCGTATCTCAACCACATGCCCTAATGCTGCATCTATCAATATTCCTGTTAATCAACGGTTAAAAGAAGTCGACAGCTTAGATTTAAATTCATCTCCCACATCAAATGAGCAGATTGATTTTTCTTCAACGCAGACGGCAAGTACCTCGATGATACCCCCTACCAATCAAATATCCATAGAACCATGTGTCACAGACTTCAATCTTACCTCATCAAGTGTACAATATAACAGCAACACTCAGGCAGCCACTTAAAAAAGGAACCATTCGGAAACAATATCTTCCTGTGATCGGCATCTGTTCTCCAATCCTTTTACCAACTCCTGAATTAATACCCTCACCTAATAATTCGTCTGATACTACACGACCTATTAATAGGAAAAAAAGAAACGAAAATCTTCAGAACCGAGACTTACTGAAGTTTTGAAACAGAACACTAAAGAAGAGTCTTTTTTCCTCCGATTGATAATTTTATCGCATTTTTGGAAAACACTTTAAGAAGCAGTAACCCATATGATGAAGCTGTCAAATTTACAAAAGATATTAAAATTTCTCTTTATAACATATATAGTATATACCCATTACTTGAAGAAAGATCCACAAAAAAAATTTACTCGGTTATATAAAAAAATGAAGAAACTGGAAGCTGAATCAGTCGAATCAGGAAGTAACAGTGCGACACCTATGACAACCATAGACATAAGTGATGAAGAGGCTTTATCCGATACTTCTTTTATTTCATTGACGCTAAATTAGACATTCTATAAAATATTCTAATGAAATTTATTTACATTCAAATTAATTCAATGGAACTGCGAGATTCTATCCTCGCTTATCATATATCCAACAAATCATAAATGAAATATTTCCCAATGTCATTTGTCTTCAAGAAACTAACCTTAACGATTCTCATAATCCCCTTCTAAAAAATTATATGGGTTACCATTACCTAAGACCGAATTATTTTCGAGCTAGTGGTGGTTCTTCAATTTTTGTTAGTGCAGGTAGGTATCTTCAAATATTTTTTCTTAAATACCAACTTAGAAGCAGTTGCGGTTACTGTTTGGTGTACTCAAAAAATGGTCATATGCAAAGTATATAATATACTACTACACTATAACTTTAATGACACATATATTTTTGAATTAATCATGCAATTTTTTCCCCTTTCATTTTAGTTGGCGATTTTAATGCCCACAGTGAAATGTGGAATTCTGACAATTCATCTAACAGAGAAAAGCAAACAGAGAATCTGATTTCTTTTGAATACTGATGAAAATACATATTTCAATATTTCCTCCGGAAATTTTTCAATAATAGGTCTATGTTTCTGTAGTCCTCGCGTAGCATCGTTCCTCACTTGAAAAACCCTAGACTCTCTGTATCTTAGTAATTATTTCCCTATTTTAGTCTCTGATAATAAGACACAAACCACCGATAATGTGAAGAGGTGGCGAACTGCACATGCCAATTGGGACAATTTTAGTATGAATGCAAAAGAACTAACTGATTTAATAATTTTTTCGAATAATATTGAAACTACTTTAATCAATTTACTCAGTACATAATTTCCTCTGTAGAAACACATATTGGAAAATTTTCATCACAATCAAGGAACAAATTTGTTTCATGATGGAACCAATCGTGTGTCAGTGCGATTCGAGAATATAACTCAGCTCTAAATAAAAATAGATGAACCAGAACTATAGATGATATCATTAATTTTATGTATTCTTCATATTTTGGACACCCAACTACCATTATTTTTAAAATTTTAAATACGTGATAATTCTGTCAAACTAATTGTCAGTATATTTTTTAGTTATTGAGATTAAATATACATTAAAATGAGCGATTTTTGTGTAGAATCCATAAATAATAGCATTTTTATTTTTATTTGGACCACATTTTAAATAAAAATTAAATTTTAATCAAACTTATGAAGACTAGAGAGAAGGAAGCAATGGTCAAATTTCAAATTTCCATCCTTATTTTTATGAAGTTCGCGAAATTGACTGTAGTTGGCATGTCGAATTAAAGCGGTTTCAATTTTCTATGTAAGTCAATGTAAAATGAAGTGATTTTTTAAAAAATTGGTGAAAAGAATCAAAATAATGTGAAAAAAAGTACCTGAGCACAAGTAACATGAATGACAAAAAACATCAAAGCAAGATACACGTCGTTCCAGATTGTAAAACAGGATACAAATCAAATGTAAAACTAAAAAAAAACAGAAGGAGAAATCAATTAAATGTCCTTTTGAAGCTTTTAATGTAAGTAAAATAATGTATTTATGGCTAAATAAAGTTTCTATAATATAAAATTTTACAGTCATAGATCCTGACTCACAAACAACAATAATTATACATTAAATTTAACTTACTAGAAAAGAAAATTAATTGTTTATAGAGTTTTAATGTTAGATAGAGAGTTGCTACTGTTATTTATTTTGTTGAACCCCAATTGTAAATGTTTTTTATATTTGCAGCATATATATCGTTCCTAGTGCCGATATAGCACTTTCTAGAGATGATGCTGTTCTATACGTTTTAGAAGATATTATAAAATATTATGAGACTACTTTTACTGATGGTACTTTTAGCAAAATAAAAAGGAGAAGCTAAAATTAAAGAACGAAGTAATACCATGTACATTCTCAAATCTCCCTTTACATTTGTATTACAACAATAGAAAATCTGTTAACTGTGTTTTATTTTGCTCTTAAAACTATATATAGGTTCAATTCAAAAAAAATTTGCCACAAGATTGTACTTATCAAATTTCAGTATTTAACAAACCTTTTCGAATTTGGTCATACCTACCTAATTTGTATTTGATATAGATAAAATTAAATAATTTATCAATATTAAAACGTGCAAGACTTATTTAGAAATAAATACAACAGTATTTTATGTGCTTTATTTAGCTGTAAACAAGTTTTTCTTTTATTATTTTGACAAAATTATGTATAATTTCCATAAGAAGCCATGTATTTTGAACAACGTATGCAGTACCAGCGCCCATGCGGTTAATTATAGAAGCTCAATTAGCATGCGTTTTTTTGGGACCGTGTTTTGAGTATGGCGATTCGCTTCCTTATCTCTAGTCTTCCTACTCACAAATTAAGAATATATACAGGGTAGGCGTACAGTTCATAATCGGCCAATAAGTAAATAACAAACGAGATATTTGGGGACTTTCGAACCTTAAGATCATTCCCAAATATCTTGTTAATATTTAGTTACTTCATATGTGTGTATGGAGTTAAATCAGTGCTACATTGCATCAGTGCAATTGAAAAATAATATTTTTTATTTCTTGTCCTCTCTGATAACCAAGCCCACGCATGTTATTCATTTAATGTTCTTCGTCGATTTCTTCAACAGTGCGACTCTAAGGAAATATTTGTTAATTACCATGGTGTAATACCGTAGCCTTCATCGTCTTAAAGAAGTCCGTGGTTCTGCTGACGTCTATTCATCATAGTGAAAATATCTGATCTTATAATACGATTGTCGTGCACCAAGTCGGACCATTAAGCACCTACACTTGTAAAAATCTCTTGTGCGTTACACACTGCTTGTATATTTACATTACACCAGCCTTTTATATTAACAAGTACTCTGTAATGACGGCTTCATTATAAGAACATGAGTTGAACCAATAGGACAAGGAAATCTATATAATGCTGTCCATTCATTAACTGCTGCATCAATTGAATTTTCCGTAAGAAATTTGATCCAAATATTGTCATATTGGTATTCTATGAACACTTTCTAGTCTCTGCTTTTTGCTTTAAAAAATGGTTAGCTATCCACTCAACATTTTATTCACTAAATATATACAGACTGTGATATTCTTTGCCATGACTTTATTATCTTTCGGGTTAATATGTTACAGACAATTTTCATAAATGTAGCCATTTCTGCCAAACTTTTAAACACCACAAAATTTTTAAGCAGTGGTTTACTTAACTTGCGAGAAGGTAAGTTTTTGCTTTATATATTAGAAAATTGCTTGCTTATAATCACATCATTTTTAGACAATGCTTAAAACTGTAGCTTTTTTAATTGATTTTTTAGTAAAAGCTAATACTTATTTTTTTCTATAACCACACGGATATTAACTTAACTACGCACAGACTACAAAACGAAAAGTATGGTATTGCATTCAACTGAACGAATATATTGTATATCCATTCTAGGTGCAAAAAAATTAAATCCACTAATCACAGTTCATATTTTGGACACCCA